TTTGGCCAGGAATTGGCCCGGATTTTGCTTGGATCTATTTTTGGCGACGGTTTTTGTAGACCTCGCGCGGTGTACGGGTTTGGAAATAGGGTGAAGTTTCAACATGATTGACATATCTGTTAAGGCAATACTTGGCTCACAAGTCTCTGTAGTTTCCTTTGTGACTTAAATACTCCATTCCTTGAAACACAGACAAACCCGATCACAAACCCATGTTCCATATATTAAGAGTGGTCCGAGTATACAATAGTACACATATATGTTGAGATGGAGAACTGCTACAAAGAAGCACTTTATTTTATTTTATTTTATTCATTGTCTTGGCTATAGGCTATAACTATCCACCCCCTCAAGGATTATACTAAAGCTTGCTGGGGGCTATCTTGGGAAAACCGAACTTTGAGATATCATCAGTCGTCTTCCCATCCAATGCAAGCTCAGCAGTAACTCGACCAATAGCGGGAGCAAATTTGAAGGCATGGGCATTACCTAGAGCAAGAATAACATCCTTGTGCTTCTCTAACTCGCTGATGATAAACTGTCGATCAGGCGTGATAGTATGCTGGCGAGTCACAATTGCTCGAAGTCAACAACTTTGGCGCCTTTAATGGAAGCTTGATAAGCTGCGGCGCTGCCGAGGGCACCGAGACCGACTACGGCGACGTCGTATTGTTCCATTGTTCGTGTTTGTGATAGTTTAAATTCGAGGAGAGTGTGAGGATGATGAGCTTGAACTTGAGATGGGTTGTGAATGGGGGAATATATAGGTATTTATCTACATTTGACTGCCCATCTGAGGTACAGGCTGCATTACCAGTTAGAGTATGAGCCAAGTATTGTCTTTGGTTACTATACCGTGTCACTACTGAACTACAATGCGACGATGATTGGGTTTGGGGATTTACACCAAGACTCGGAACATGCTCCTGCAGCGTCCCCCGCATATTATACCGGATAGGCTATCCGATCCACGATACCAACACTGTCGACATAGTAAGAACAGGCAGATCTAAATGGTTCATGGCGAAGAATGTTACCGGCTACTTGGGCCGATAGTTAAGACTATACTGAGATCTGAGGATGCTGTGAGAGGCGGAAACCTTCCAGTCTCATCACACACTGAGTCACAGAGGCTCTCTCAACGATGTGTTGCACATGTAATGTAATCAACAGACAAAATATCTTGGATATATGTGCTCTTGGCATCTTTGTGCTGACATAAGAACAGCTTCTTGTCTATTCTGCTTTGCTTGATATTTCTTGGGCGTCGACGACAGGAATACATCATCTACGCCTCTTTTCTTCTTGACCTCCTAGGACCGACAAATACAAGACCAAATAGCTTTGGACCTGAGCTTCCTGTTCCCTTGGCCTTAGGCCTCTTCCCATGAATCATATCCATTCGTGTTTGCCCTGCACTGTCCTGCACTGTCCTGCGCTGTGCTGTGCTGTGCTGTGCTGCCCTGCCTTATCTTTACCATGGCGCGCTATGTCTTTAAAATGCAGTCTCCTGTAACGGAAAACGTTCTTGAAGAGTATATAGACTGAGCCTCCCCATCCCATCAACCCAGCCCCTGAGCAATAACCAAAACGTGCTGTCCTTTCTCATAAGTGCAAGGAACCGCCACCCTGCCAAGACATGATACGCTTTAAAATGATTAAAAAAAAAAAAAAATCCATGTTTCTGTTTACAATGCGCCCAACACCATTGCTCGATTGAAATAACAAAAGAAATAGTCCAAACGATGGGTCGTCGAATCATCAGTGGCTTGATATGGCTTGCTTCGCCAAACGCAACCATCAACGCCAACATGCCATTTCCGCCCTCTCGAGATTGGCCATCCTTCTGGAAGCCTCTTCGCAGTTTGACCCTTACCGCGGGCCCTGCTCGGTCGATTACTCATCGAGTTTGAATCGCTCGAGTTCAAAGAACCCCCAAATTGCCCATCATCAACATCATCATCATAGACCCTCTTCACCAGCCTTGCATAGCTTGATCTCACGTACCCATTCTGACTTAAGGACCTGAGCGGCCGTCAAGCGTCGAGTCGGGTGGGGGTCGAGAACCGAGTAGATGACATTGCGGCATCGCGCCTTGTGCAGAGTTAGTACATGACGCACAGTTTTCACACATTGAATGAACTTACCCGATGAAGCGATTCGATGGGGCCGTAGCCCTCCTCATCACGGCGACCCTCTAAATAACGGGCGTAAAACTCGTCATCATCCTTCTTGGCCAGTCGCCAAAGGTGTCGCCCTGTCCGCATTGCCATAAAGATGACACCGCAAGCCCACACATCTACAGCTCTGGCGTCGAACTCCTTATCCGTGTATTCCTCAGGGGCAATGTAGGGAGCAGAACCGCACAGACCAGATACCATATGCGCGTCCGTCTCCCAGGCCATTCGGAAACACTCTCCGTTGCCAAAATCCGTAATTTTGAGGGCGCCACGGGTCGTCAGGAGCAAGTTTTCGGGCTTCAGATCGCGGTGCGCTACACCCATTTCATGAAGATATTCAACACCTCGCATCATCTGCTTGAAGAAACAGTCGGCTTCTTGTACCTCGAGCTTCCCACTTGAGAGAACGAGGGTGTACAAATCTCCTCCAGCACAGAACTCCATGACTTCGCAGTAATCACCCTTGGCATCCTTGAGCAAATCGAGTGTGTGAATAACGTTGGGATGTCGAAGCGAGGACGATATGCAGAATTCGGCCGTGAGTCGCTTGCTATACTTCTTCTCTGTCTCCTCTGGTCTGCGCCGGAACTCCTTGACAGCAAAGAGCTTTTCATTGCTGCCACCAATCTTCTTGTGGGAGATTCGAACAATACCAAAAGCACCACGCCCGACCACCTCCTGGCATTTGCCGTATTTCTCCACTAGGGTTGTCGTTGCGCTCGGTCCACCTTTTCTATCGCCAGCTTCCTCTTTTTCTTGCTGTAGTGTATCCACCCAATTTGAAACGAGCGATAGATCGTGCTCGGCGGCTGCTTCCTGTTTCTTGCCGATGATTGCTCTCCACATATCCGAGAGCTTTTCCTGACGTCGACTAGACTTTAGATGGTGCTCATGGCCACCCTGTGCTTCCGGATTTAAAACAAATCGTTGAGAGGGTTCCTTGCCACTGGTCGATTTCGTAGCGGGTTTGGCTGGTGCTGTCGCCTTGTCAGTCGGTTTGTGCGAAACCTTGTCGCTACCCTTCTCGGTGGACGAAGTCTTTCCCGCGGGTGTAGAGGTGCCGTTTGTGGAAGAAGCCCGTGGGCGATTTGGTAAATCGACAGTCGAAGGGGCGGGAGTCGGAACTCTTGACGTATCCTTGGATGAGAACATGCGGGTGAGACGGTTCTTTACTGAAGCCGTTGGCTTCAGATGCGTGTCTGAGGGAGGATTTCCATTATTAGCGGTTGCACCATTCTGTGGTGCTAGACCAGGGGACTTCTTGACGCCATCCTGAGACTTGACCGAGGATGGTTTCGAGCTCGATGCGGAGGGCGGTTTTGAGGAACCAGATGCGGTGGGCATTTTTGTAAGTGAATACGAGACAAGCGTCACTGTCTGGGGTATTGATGAGGATATTTAAGGCGAAGAGTCGAGAGAATAAAGTGATGGTAGAATATGCGACGACCTGGTGCGACACCAGAAACGGGCGTCAGTGAGCACGACTCGAGCAAGGGTGGATTTGTTGCGCAACGGATGAGTCTAAAAGCAACGGTTCAGTTGGCATGCAGCCGAAGCCAGCGTACAGCAGTAAGCCAGGTAACAACAGAAATGCCGAACGCAGAACCGCGAGGTTTTAGTTTCTGGTCAAAAGGCGCAGCGCAGCGCAGAATAAGATTGACGAGTGCTCAAAAACAGGACAGTGGGGTATCTGAGTTGTCTTTGGGTCTTCGATCTTGGCGGGGAGTGGAGATGAGGCGAAGCAAAAGGCGAGCGGCAATACGTATTGGACTGAAAATGTATGTACTGCAGTGTAGGTATCGGATTGGAGGTGGTGATAGTGGCTAAAAAGCCCGTACCTCAAGAGTGGCGGGTTCTGTTCTGTTCCGCTCTGTCGTTGGTGGGGCCGATGTAATTGATCGAAAGTCCCGAACAATACCGACAAAGAGCCTATTCCGAGGTAGAGCTATCGAGTCACCCAGAGTCGTAAGAAGAGAACAACAACAACAACAACAACAACAACAACAACAACAAAAAAAAATCAAACAAAAAAAGGGCGCGCAGAGGTGGTGCTCAAAGCCGTATGTGAACTCTTTCTTGGCTGATGATGATGCCGAACGCCAAGACAAGGCGGATGCAGGTCACGGAAGGATGTCGGCTTCTAGGGACCACTATTTGTCGCGAAGTAAGGTACTGAACTGGCTGGACTGGAGCTCGTACGGAGCAACCTGTGGTGAACCTGGGTCACGATGACGAGACGAGAGAGGTAATTTCGAATTCAACTGCCCAGTTTTCCGTGCAGTGTAAGTTGGACGCAAGAAACCCTCGCCCTTCCCAGTGGCAGCACTCGCTATAGAAGAAACGCCTACAGGCGTTGATGGGCTCTGAAGCCCGTGCAGCTATACCAGAGACAAAAGATGAGGAGAGCGGACAATCTTTGTCGCAACTGCTAAATCAAGCAGAACAAGAACAAAGAGGAGAATAGGAGAAAGGGTGAGACGGAGAGGAAGTGTAGAGAAGAGGTGAAAAGAAGTAATGGTGGGAAAAAAGGGAAGCGGGAATTTTAAGACGACGGAAGGCAAGAAGAAATAGTGAGTGAGGGTTTTGAGTAGCCTACCTCTCCAACGGCCTAGGCCTAGGTAAGGTCAGGTCAGGTAAGGAAGGGGAATTAATAAATAAGGTAAGGCTAACTTGAGCAGTGAAGGAAGAACGATCTATCCCAAATTAAAAGCCCAGATACAGTGACTGACTGACGGACAGTACTGCTGAGTACTTTACGAAGTGTGATATTTGCTATGAAGACGTATGTACCTAAAAGGTTAATCTGAGGGTAGGTACTTATTAGCATGGATGGAACCGCTGTAAGAAAGAAAAAATTATAGCTCCATCTTTCTGTAATTTGCCTAGCACTTACAAGGACTCGCTCCTGGAGAAATGGAGAAAGATGCCACAAGGACGAGCGGCTGTTAACCATTTATCAAGCATCGCATTACCCATCGACAGCACCTTGTTCGTCTACCTCAAGAAGAATATTCGTAAGTGCCAATAATCCGGAAGACACCTATACATCAACATCAGACTCCTAGAAGCCATATTGCCGGAGCTGCGCCGGCATCATATGGCTTTGTTATGGGTCGCCTTGATCATGCATTCCCATATATTACCAGTTCCAAGCTACATCAGGTTCATCATCGGCCAATTCCTACCTCAGTCGGTTTCTTGCTGAATCTCGGTTTCATCATGCCCTGTAATTCAAGTTTGAAGGTACAGTACATAGGTCCCCGGTGCAGAGGAACAAATGCGCGTCTCTTGCTCAAGCAAGGAGGCCTGGAGGCTGCATTGGCGGTGGTCAGAAGGACATATTTCCATACTAAAACACGACAGCTCTGCTGGTCGATCACCCAATCCGCTGTTTCAAATTTCTCCCGTCCATGTCACTCCATTATTTCCGACATCTGCCACAGCAGTCAAGGGTTTTTAGGTGTCTGTGTGAGCCCTGGCCCTCACCAGGTTAAAAAAAATCCATCATGAAAGGAGGGGCCACCAGCGCTACTCCGCGGAGGGAGTAGACTACCTCGAATGCAGTGTATTGAGTTCCAGGTACCAGAAAGTCGATGCCACTCTGGACGACAGTGAGACCCGCTCCAACAGGTCTCTTGTGAACTGGGCCAAGACGACACAGTACCTCAAGCCGGGAACCATCGAGCCCCGCCTGTCATCCAACAGGGGCATATATGAAGTATGTTTTGGTATGGGGTACCCTTCAGTACCTCTCGTTGAACCTCATCTGTCTTTCATCCATCACCGAAAAAAGGACCACGGACCTCCAATACAGCCAAGCTTTGCGGCGGAGACACCCCTGCAACATGGGGACGTGCTTCTACTACTCTCCAACAGAACGCTTCTATTACTATACACTCATCTTCGATATCATATCAGCTTGAATTGCATGTTGTCCAACGCACATGAACCCAGACGCGGTGACGTAGAGCAGCGAGCCAATCATGGATACCGAGGCGAACATCTAAATGTATGACGGCAGATCTGTGAGCCTTGTACCGCACCGCACCGGCAAGCACAGATCCGGTCCCCTACAATATACGACAGAATCAATAACAACTCAAGACGAGGTGCGGAGTACGGGTCAAACCACACGATAGGATGTGGTGACTGTTTCGGCATGGCGGTGCAAGGCATTACATTGCATTGCATCGCATCGCATTATGTACAGAGGCGAGGCACTAGACAAAGTTCTTGTCCCCAGCCGCGCGGTACGGATTGTTTGTGGTATGACGAGGCGGCGGCGGAGGGGTACCAGGGCTTGGTTCACTCAGAGCTCATGCTTGGTTTCTACGTTCCATCAATTCTTCGAGCATGCTGAAGCGGCACTGGAACAGTTGCCGCATTTCTATCCGTGCCCGTACCGACAGATTCAACGTTAGCGCTAATAAAGAACACCAGCTCAAAGCAGAGCCGATGCACTTCAGCGGTCGATGCGGTGTGGTGCGGTGCATCTCTGCGGGTACCCTCGGGGGGGGGGGGGGGGGGGGGGTTGACTGACCGTTACGTCTTTCTAAATGTCCCACGATTCGAAAATGGGTTATTGTCTAGCAATGGCTGGGCTAGAATTCACCCTGATAGCAAAAGTAAAGCCTGCCGTGGTGGGAAGTTTTCAACAGCCATGTCGTTGATATGTGCGACTCGAATGGTGCTTGGCACATGAATGAATGAATCTGTACGACAGCCTAGGAGATTTCGGAAAGTAGGCGTGGATGCAGTAGATAGTGGTTTGTATCACGTCCTCAACCTACCTGGCTTGGAAAGTTACCACCTCCACTGCCTACCTGTTGACATGTGCCATGATTTGGCTGACCAAGCTCTAGGTGTGATTATGATTTCCAGCTTGTTCGAGGCTTATCCGAACCTCACACAAGCTGAAATCAACGTGACATCTGTCGTAGAATATTCCAGCTGCAACATGAATCTGCCTTTAGACATGGAAAATCGGGATATTTTCCTCCTGGTAACGTGAGAGAAAGGCCGGCCTGGTCTGCTCAGGCCTTTTTGTGTTTGATATTTTGTTGGATACGTGCCCTCGACCTCGTGCCGACCCCAGCCAACTAAGGTAACTCCACTAACGTTAGCAGAAATGCCAAGAAATGGCGCATGGGCAGGGACAGAGATCCCGCTAGACAGGGATGTCAGAACTGTGGAGGTGATAGCAACGCTAGTTGAAATGTGCCTTTGAGAATCTTTTTGATCGAAGACTTGCAAGTGGTTCTGGTTTGGGATTGTTGAATATTACCTCGCTAATGAATAGTTTATTGGTGATGATGGAGAGAGATAATACATGGTGATATGGGTGAGAGTGCCGATTCTCGAGCAACATCCGATAGGTAAGAGTAAATCGTTTGTCTGGCGACCAAGGTAAGTTACCATATCCTGTCAATCTGCCAAGACATGGGTTCATAGAATCGAACTTTCCCAAACATGGTCTATGATCAGTACGTCGAAACCAATAGGTCGTGCATAAGATCCCAGAGATGATCTTATGCTAGTGGTAGTGCTTCGACTTCATTTTGCCTTTGATTCCTCGAGAGTATAAAGCCGTGTACTTTCGCCTTCTCCTGAGGCTTCAATTTAGGCATGGGACCTTCAGGTAGGGTATGTACATATACTTGGTGCTCCATGCCCACCTTGAAGATAGCTAGCAGGTCATTGGCTGGCCCTATAGCATTGGCATCAGCTTGTTGTAGAACCCTGTAAATGTACTTGAGTGAAACAAGAATACGAGTATATCATGATTATCATGAATTGGACTGTCATTTTGGACACAGATAGGTACCTTAGGCAACACTATGCGTATTGATCAGCATGGAGAATGCATTGCAGGCAAGTTACTTCAAAAGTTCACCGTCAACGAGATCAACACCGGGCCGGGAAATCTTTCTCCCCACAGCTCAAGTAGGTAAAATAATTCACCTTAGACACCCAGGTACCTGTAAGGTAAGGTAGCTGCATCCAGTTCAAAGACGGGAAAGGATGAAAAGATCCAGCTCAGAGCTACAGTGACAAATCACTCCTTCCACATTGGTGGTGGCTGCCTCGAGACCTGATAGCAGAGTCGGTACCTTCTCCATTCCCTTAGAAAGAACACAAACCCTTGCAAGGCACCTGCCTGGTACCTCATGTAGGTAAGTATCTTCTTTCCAGAGGTAGGTACTAGGTAGGTAGCCTTCCTTCAAAACGATTCAGTCATGTAACGTCTTTGCTATTCACCAAAGAGACCACCAACATCGTTCCTCTCTTTGCTCTCGCAGAGAGATCATCCTGTGTGAATGTCCAAATAGGCGCCTCGATCCATGTACTGGTACGGCATTATGCGTTACACCGCTGGGGCCCCTGCAATCGGGCTACCTTCACATTGGATGCCAGGATATTCACAGACACATCTGTATGTAAGTCACAATACGTCCAATATCCTTCGCAATTTTATTCGTACTGATGAAAAACAGCATCGCTGATAAGCCGTTAATATAAGTTTTGTCTTTGTGACATAAGTCGCATTCACTCATATGAGGAGTCGTATTAAGCAGCAGCAGCAGCAGCAGCAATAGCAACAACAGTAACACCACCAAGCTGAAGGAAACAGGATCCCAAAGTCGCTCCTCAACGAATCGTTTCTCCTTGTGCTAGTTTCTTGATATCACTTGAAGTACACTATGAGGTATTTCCAAACATCCGCACAAGGCGCGATGAAGCGGCGTGGCCTGCTGGAGCTGCCGCTCTTTTCTTGTTTGGATTTCTCCAAATACGATGCCTGCATATCTTTCCCTATGTCCTGTTCACGCATGTGCGTGCACCCCTCTACCAACCCCCGAAATTACTCGAGGAAACCTCTATTCCTGACACTACGGTCTGGGGCTCTGTCGTCCCCACCAACCCTCAATTGAGTTAGCTCTGACAACAAACGCATCTGAACTTTCTCTGTGAGAGTTGTTCAAAAGAAGAGGCCTCCAGAAGGCTGGAACTGTGCCCCGCTCGCTTGATCCATCGAGCGTCAAGGGTTGAGTTGCGCAAGGTACTCGAGTTTTCCGAGTGCTTCTTCCGACTTTGACATCCTATCCGCCTTAACTACCCGGAAAGACTAGGTAATATATTCCGACCAGGTCTATAAAGTCAATATGCCGATTCGTTGAACTCTAGCTCGGAGTCCACCCAGCTTGCTGGGTAATGCTCATTCTGCAACCCTGGGGTTCATGTCTGACCTATTGTTGAAACTTTTACATTGAGCAGGGCTGCCAACTTCTTGCATGCAACCATCACGAATTACACAGCTTGATCGGCATGGTGGTGGCATTCAACTTAATAAGGGTTCTTTCATAAACATAACCCCAGCCTGCAGGGATGAAAGCTTGCATATCCCTGTAGGCTCGTCTTCTAACAAACCTTATCACGTATAAGGATTGTTCTACGTGTTCTAGCGACCTGTGTTTGGAATATAATCGATTACATATCCTGATGTCTTCGGACGATTCACATCAAAGGAGAGAAAATGAAACAATACCCAGAGGACTTTTCTTTAACCCAGGAATATTCATGTTGGATATACATGCGCAGTGCCGGGTCCCTTCACCGCTCGACCCGTGTCCGTCACAAATCAACATTTATCAGAATCAAAAGGTACGATACCTGACGCTCCGTCCCCAACACCCTGCGGAGTGGGCGTCGCAATGTCACCATGTACCAACATGTCAGCAAAATGGGATATTTCAGCGACTCCCTGGTCTGGCATTAGCAAGGGACAGATTGTAAGGGACTAGACCGCAATCTTTTCAATATTTGGATTAATCTACTATCTCGTGTTGACGTCACACCGTCTTGATTTACAGACAGACAAAGATCTTACACAGCATCTTTTACACCGACAACAAAGTGCCTTCACCGTTTGCTCGTGCTCTATCGCCGAGAGCTCACTGGCTCACTACACCCAGTCGACACCCGTCACGTCAACCCCAGTTCTGCTGCCGAAAGCTATCCCTGTAACCCGCACAAGCTTATCGAAGTTTTCATCTTGACCCTGCCAGATAGCAACGCGGGCCCATGCAGCATACCCAATTGTGTCTCACAGCAGCTTGTTGGTCGCCGTCAATCGCAACCCTAAGGGGTTGGCGGCTGAGCCTTCATAGTACACTTGATGTATAGTGACACCTTGAGCAACGGTTTCCACGTGGCTCCGGGTGTTCCTGGTGTCTTTCTATACAGTGGCACCCACTTATGCATGACGAAGGAGTCATCCCGAATTTTATATCCCGTCTTCGGGAGAGCATCCCGCTGCCGCGACTAATCTTGACACCCACCGTTGCTGTGTTCAGACGAGATAGCTGACTGATCTCGAACACGTATCGAGATTGTCAGAGCTTTTCTGCCAGCTGTGCTCGGACAATTATCTCCTCATCGGCCAGCATGGAACCGGCGTATCAGGCCTAATATTTGTGAAGATGTGTTATCTACTGGCTACGCCTGCTCGAAGCCCCTGCCTATACTCCCAACTCATGCAAGATACGTTGCAGACCTTAGAGGTAAGATTAGAGGACGGTTCCTATATTGACCGGCTTTTGGCTGCCTGGGCAGCTGTGCACATCTATTTCAAAGTTGTAAATTCCTTACATGGCTGTCAACCTCCTCATCAAAAGCCTGGCTGCCCGACCACGCCAAACAGGGGAGTCACCACCTTCCTGGTGGTTGTTATCATCACCTCTCTTTTATTGTATGTGGTCGAGTTGTCGAGGCTCTAAATCTGTCGAGTGCGACGCTACTCGTACCGGCCTGCAGTTCACACTTTCCATTGCTTCAAATATTACCCTCAGTTGCATCCAACGGACATGTTACACGGTGAGCACTCCTTTTTATACCTATGTCTTGTGGCATCGTTCTCACTGAGCTTCTAAAAGAGTCCACCGCCTTTAATCCGTCACTACCAACCATGTTGTGATCACCCGCGACGCCATAATGGTATAACATACTTTCCAAACTCGTAGCCTTACCCCAAGGTGCAACTTGTTCTTATTGTTTCCCTGTGAGGCCAAGCTTGGATGTGAGATGCGAAAGCTTGGCTGCTGGCCCCGATTTCTGCAGGTCATGAGAATTCTCAGAGATGTCTTCATGCCCAGTGAGCCCAGGGACCCCCTTCAGTTTCTGTGTCTCTTTGACAAACTTGGTCAAATATACTGTGGGCCTTCTCGAAGAATCATTCTGGCCAGACGTGATGTTCTCTATAGCAGTTTCATACGCTCGGTCATACACGTTGAAGTCAACGGCTGTTGGCGAATCGGACACCATATCTGGAGGAGCCTCATTGGAGGCGAACTCGTCCATTGTTCCTGTGCCGATTCCCAAGAAAGGGGTGTTATTTTCCTTTGTTTCGTGAATTGGCGGAGTTTGGCTGCTTTCGTCAGTCTTTTGATTCAGAAACTTCCGGCGCTGGTAGAGCAATGCCTCGATCACCTCTGCCTTTGCCCTTTCTTGGGATGCATCAAAGGTGTCCTCGGTGTGTTTAGGCGGGCTACTGTTCGATCTGGCGCGATGCTTGGCCAAAATGGTCTTGAAGCGATGGATGGCTTTCATGACGCAAAGGAGGTGATTCATCTTGCGAGTAAAGGCACGGTTAACCTCAAGCTCATTGGGAGGTTCCACCATGTTGGCACAGTTCTCTTCAGCGGAGAGCAGAGTGTCCGTACCCTGCTTGGTGACCCAGGGATGCTCCTGTTTAAGTGTTAGCTCTGCTATGTCGGATGCTTGCAAGGCCTGAACATCTTACTCGAAGTTTATCCATGGTTATGCGCTGCTCCGGGTCTTTATTGAGTAGCTTCCGCATGAGGTCGGCAAAGTCCGGATTCTCGTCCTCGGGGATGGACGGTTCGTCGGTCCTGATAGCGTCGTACATGTCCAAGACACCGTCACGGTTGAACGGAATGCGTCCATATCTTAGACAGTAGAGCGAAACTCCCATGGACCAGATATCAGCTGCGGTGCCCGACACGTCACCATGCTTGCCGCAAAGTTCAGGGGGAAGAAAAGCCGGCGATCCTGCAGATTTTGCTGTTCTCATGTTTTCAGGTTTTTCGAACATCTCGGAAACGCCAAAATCGACGACCTTGAGCACGTCATCATCAGATAAGAGTAGGTTATCTGGCTTGATGTCTCTGTGGATAACACCCTGAGCATGAACTGCGCGGCATATCGTGAGCGTCTCAGAATAATTGGGTTTTGGGGTGATTGCACTCACGATACTCAATAGCTAATATCAGGTCTCGAAACCAATAGCGACAATTTTCCTCGGGGTAGGGATTGGCGTGTTCGTCTAGGCCGACCTTCATAACGACACCCTTTCGGCACATCTCTAGGACCATATAGATTGAATCTTCCTCGGGGTCATCAAGAACCTCGTAGAGTTGCACTAGGTTGGGGTGATTTAGTTTCTTCATAATGGCAATTTCCTCTCGAATGAGGTGCAGAGCGTCATTGGAGTCCTTGACCCTGGGCACTGAATTGAAGGGACCTCCGATGCCAGGGCCCATACGCCTTGGGCCTCGAGGGCCTTGCCTGAGGATCGTGGATTGGAGGCGTTTCCTGAGTCGAGCCTTGGAAAATTCTTTGACGGCCTGGGGGCTGTGTAAGTCGGAGACGAATTGGGGCGGGCTGGCTTGGGAGTTCAGTACTCACATATTCATTGCCGAATTGGTCCTTGGCAAGATGGACAGCGCCATATGAACCTCTGCCAATTTCTTCCAAGATTGTATACTGGTTTACTCGATGATGAGAGCAGCCATCAACATCCTCGTCCTCAAATTGTGTCTGCGCATCGAGAGTCTCCTATGGAACTGGTCAGCCCAATAAGGCCTTGTTGATGCTGGCATCAGATTCGCACCTTGACTTCTCGATGAGCGCTTGGGGTTCTCTTGTGATGCCTGAGAGGGCTTGAGAAATGAAGAACTTCTGCTGGTTCCGTCCTTGGTTGATGCGATTGTCAATTGGCCAATTGGGCGCATTTAGGATTTGAATAGGCTTTGAGTCTGACTTACAGGTGATGGATGAGTGGTGGGGGAGGTTTATCGCCAGAGGCATCGTCATGTTGGTCGACTCTGACTTGTGGCGAAGGGAAAGTGAACGAGGGTCTCATCTCTGGATGAGTTGCTGCATCCATTGTCAAGGATGAGATGAGAAGAGAAGCGATAGGCCCAGAGAAAGATATGGGATGAGGTTAGTGTTGATCGAATCGAACTCTATAGACTAATCAGTCAGTGACGTTGCCCCGCACCCCGCGGTAAACCAATATACTATGTGATATAACAGGAATTGTGTTTTGATAAGGTAAGATACCTATGTATGTATGTATGCTCTCCAATTGAAGATGATTCAAAGAGAAAGAGGAGAAGCGTGACAGACAAAAACGGGTTTAAGAGTGATTGTTAGTGCCATGTGATATGATTTGGTGGTAGGTAGTTAGAGGGATGGGACGAACCGAAGGTCTTTTTCGAGTCCCGTCCTGTCTCCAGCTGTGATCACAGTGAGTGAGCCTTGGCTGAGCGGGTTGCTTACAGGCGGGGCACAGTCAATCTATGGTACCGTAGGGGACTGGACACCTGCAGTCAGCCTGCCCAGCTACCTTAGGCGTGGGACAACTGGTCAAGAGCTTTAGGCCCTACCCCACCTAAGCTCTTCACTAAACTTCAATGGGCACAGGCGCCACAGTTAGCTAAGGTAGGCACCTATCTTACCTAGCATGGAGGTTGCGGATGGCGGGAGGTTCCATCATACCTAGGCTTGACCTCCTTCTCCACCAAAACAATTCATCACATCGCATCGCATCGCATTCCATCTGCTACACCATCTGTCTCTAGGCTCCCACTATCGCGAATCTTAGTCCAACTCAACTCGAGATACACTTATCCGCCAACTTCTCCGAGCAATACCTACCCAAAACCACCTCACAGTTCAACTTACACGTCGACCTGAACCCCTTGAACCGCCATCATGGTTGTCTACTCATTCCACATCTTCGACCGACACAGTGAACAGCCTTCCCTCGCTCTTTCCCCTCTAGATCTCCCGACTAACAATCCTTCTTCCCTCTTTTAGCCGAATGCGTCTACTCCAAGTCCTGGCTACCGTCATCTGCAGGCCCCGAAATCGCTGCTCCGAGTACATCCTCTGACGATGCAAAGCTCCTATTCGGCACAGTCTTCTCCCTTCGAAATATGGTCCGTAAGCTCGGCGGCGACGACGACGCATTCATCAGCTACCGCACGGCCCAGTATAAGCTACACTTTTATGAAACACCCGCCAACTTGAGATTTGTTATCCTCACCGACACAGCGACCTTGAGCATGCGCAATGTGCTACACCAAATTTATATCAACTTATGGGTCGAATATGGTGTGATCTACGAGCAGGAAGAGTGTATCATCTGGGCTAACTTTTCTTTGCAGTGGTCAAGAACCCCCTAGCGCCAGTGGAACACAAAAACGGCGATGGTGTCAAGAATGAGCTTTTCGAGTTGGGCCTTGATCAGTTCATCCGGGGCTTGATGTGAGCGAGAGGAGCAAGAATAACGAGCACTTTTCAAGGCATTACCTTTCGGGGATACCACCTACAACCACGGGGCTGTTGGAGATGGGGAGATAAACCCATCCCCCCTCCAGTAAAGATACTGCGCTCCTGGGCATGGCCTAAAGGCTGCAGGTAGGAGGGAGGTGTGTCTACTGGCCTCCCAAACATAAGGAGAATAACCCAGACACAAGAACACTACAATCGTGTCGCCCAGCTCCGAGCAGGATGATGATTTCGGCATGGCAGCGCGAGTCCATACCAGAGCCGGAGAAACGTCCCTCACAGTTCGGCTGAGGAGGTATGCGGAAGTAGAGAAGAGAAGACTACCCAACGCCATTTCCGGCATCAATGTTACACGAGGAGGGTGTTAAACCAAATCCCTCGGACTCGACTAAACTATATCAACACCGTACACTCGCCTCTAAATAACCAACATGTGACATTTGTTTGCGTCTTCAGTGGCCCAAATGCTTCCCGATATTATGCTGCTCGTTTATCTCCATCCTTGATTTCCATGTAATGATCCCGCCATGACTCCTCAAAGTTATGTAGCAACACAACAAAACACAACCAGAATACATACGCCTCACGACTTGTTCTCCACTGCTCGTCCCCATGCGCTCTCGAAGCCCCCCTGAGAGTCTACCACAACCAGGCTTGATTCCCCTTGTGCACCTTGGACTTGTGTCTGTGTCTGTGTCTGTGGTTGCGACACTTTGGTGACACCAGTTGTCTGCGAAGCGCCAAGATCGACAGCACTGGCCATCAGATCATCGTCTGTGCGAATTTCCTGCTCCCAATTGCTTGAATACACGACAGCGGCAAAAGCCTCAAGATCACGGACAGTCTCCATTTTCTGGAGGTATTCATTAGGCATTCCATCGCCAATAACATGTGCCTGGCGTGTCAACACCGACAGGATCTTAGGCAGTAGAATCACCTTTGAGCGCTGCTGGTCCTTAAGTTCGGGAGTTACGATACCATCTGAGGCCGGGAGTTCGAAGGCGGCCGTGGCGAGCTTGTTATCAATGAGATAGGAGAATCCTGCGTCGAGGAGAAGAGTGAGGACGTGCGTGAAGCTGGGTGATTCAATGAGATCGGCTGTCTCGTCAAGCAGCCGTCTCAGGATTGCCTGTGACGCGGCTGTTGACTGCTCGCCATCCTGATTAGATGTCTCGTCGAGAATGCCCGACTCTCGAATCACTTCGTCCTCCATGCCCCTGGGTGGGAGGAGAAAGTTGAGCCAGTCGGACTTCTGACGCTCCTCCTTTGTAGAACCTTCAACAAGCTTCCTCACCTCGGTCGTCAGCTCAGAGAACCTCTCAAAGCTCAGGAGGTCCCTGGGGCTCAGGCTGCCAAAGACGGTGCGCACGGCGCTCTCCACTCGGTGCATCAAATCCACCCAGCCTTTGTTGAGTAGCCACCAACTGAAGGTCAGGTACTTACGATTTATGTCGAAGTCACTGCCATATGTCTGTTCTATGTTGTCGTCATCGTTGTTCTCAAGACTGATGGTGCCTTGTTGGCCACCTGTTGCGAGGGCCACCACACTCGATAGATAGCTTCTTCGACCGAGGAGGTTGAGTTGTACCCGAGTTAGCATTGTAAGCAGCGCAAGGGTATATATCAAAGTAAAAGACCGCGTCACCGCTGCAGGGTGTGTCAGTTCTGTGCAGAGAAGAAGAGCAAGGCTGCTACTCACCACTGATGGTTACGTCATCCCATAGTTGTCGCTTCGTCTTGCGAGGCTTTGGTGCTTCCTTGTTCGCCCCAACACCAGCGTTGAATGGTGAAGATGTAGGGGCCTGGCTGGTCTGTACACCGCCCTCGCTTTGGCCAGCCATACTCTTCCCATCGTCCTCTGTCAATGTAGTATCGGCGATGCTGGGTGGCGCGGCAGACTCAGGGCCACCATTCTTTATAGCCTTGGTGGCTTTCATCTGCTGAATCTCAAATGTGATCTGCTCCGTGTTCATGGCCTCGAGGATGGCAGTCGTGGCGGAGGGCAGGAGAGCCAGGACGGTGAATGTGCAGTCCTCCTGGTTCTGTTCAAAGCGACGTCGCAAGCTGTGTCATGGGTTGTCAGTATATGTTGCGTATCGTTCCTATCAGGTAGGTGATAGTTACTTCTCCTTGGCGATACGGTCGCTGCTCATGCGCTCGCGGGCATCATTAAGCTTTCCAACGACATATTGCGTCGCGACGTAACCGACACCGATGACGCCCACGCCGACAGCAATGGGCGTACGATTGTTGCGCAGCCAGCGCCGAGCAGATGTGAACATGATTTGAAGATGGTGGAAGATACGCGACGAGGAAACGGTGATCAATTGTTCATGAGTTGTAGCTGTACGTAAAGTATATCCGATAGATCGATCCACCGAGGCAGAGGTTACTGCTTTGTGAGCATGTGGACGTTAAAAAGCCGTTGAGGGTTTGGGTTCGGTATGGTAGCTTCTCGTTGGGGTAAGGTTGGAGTTAGGGGAGGTTAAAAAAAAAAGGTTCAGGATTAGATATCAATGCCAGTGCCAACATGAGCCTGAGCCTCGGCCCCGAATATGGATGGAGGCTTGATATTGACCTAAGAGTTGCCGTACCTTATACCCCGTGGTCGGAGTCGGTAGACGTGGCCGAGGTGGAGTCTGTAAGATGATATGTGGCTGGTACGATAAGATGGTTGACATCCATTGTGTGGCTGTGCTGAGCTGAAGCACGGGGTAAGTGGGGACCACCTAAATCGATCCCATGCCCCTCCCTTTTATGGCTCAGTGACGTTGTTTCGTTTGGAGAGTCACTATCTCTAGTACTTTATCTATCTCATCTTCTCTCGCGTCTATCTCAGCCCCCTTCTTCAACTCTCCTCAACCATGATCATAGCCCACAATCGACTATACAATAGCACCGACAATATGGATCAGCAAGAACCACCAGAGTTCATCCTCGACGTATTCGCTGACCCGCGCTCGGTTCGTGAAGTCGTCAAAGGCAAGTTTACTGCTTGTTCTCTTGATCGTCTTCCTACCCTGGACACCCACCCCGCTATCCTCCCTCGTGACAGTCTCAACGACAAAGGAGTGACAATGCTCTCAAAGTTATCATGAATGCGCATCATTAACACGTCCTCTCACAGGAATACTACATACAATATTCTTTAATCGGTTCTTCCCTTCTATCGTCCCACAAACCCGCGAGGTCCTTGACACGACGCTTCCATATGTCGACGACGACGAGCTTGAGACTATGATAGATCAGCGCGTCGCGGCTCTCGAGCGTCAGATCGATGTCCAGCGCTCTTCAGGCGGTGCTAACAGCGCCAGCACCGGAAGTGGTAACGGTGGGCGCGGCCAGCTCGTTGTTCAGTTTTTCGAGAAACGCCGTCGCAAAGCCTGGCTGTCGCGTGGCGACGAAGAGGTTTGTTGGGAGTGTTGGACCATTAAAGTGACTGTCGCCGAGCCAAGAACAGAGAGTGGTACGGAACTCCTGCTCTCTACAGTAACATGAGGGATTGCTAATATACAGCATAGAACGTGCCAAAGTTCGACGAGCAATGGAGCAGACCCTCTCAGCAACAGCGATGAAGATAGTCGCATTTGTTAATACACACAAAGACCACATACCGCCCATCACAACTCAGGGTACCAACCCGTTTCCCTACAAGATCAACATTGACCAAAAGGAGGCGGCAGGTTGGGCAACACGGATGCGTATATACTAGAACGATGACTTTGGAAGAGTCTCGCGCCCTAAGATTATTGCGGGCTTGCGGCGCTTACGCTACCTCGACCTTGCTGTACCTTTGTAGCAACAATTTACTCTGGTACATGCTCAACGTTGGATTTGTGGAACAGTTTATAGCAGTCAAGGCCTGGCCAGGCTTGGCGAATGGTATAGAACATCCATTCGTGTTGGATATATAGATCAAAGGCGTTTGAGGAGTTATGACCAATGACCAACATACATAGGTCA